GAAAGCAGAGTTGTTGGAAGCACAGATAAATGTCCTGGAGAATGATGTGCGGCGACTGGCCACTTCTGCCTCTCACACCAGGGAAGATGACCAACCCAGTGGTGAGTTGGGGAAACCGTGTGTCTCTAGGCACAACCTGTTGCGCATGAGAAACTGAGACAGTAAAACGGCAGAAACAGGGAGAGCCCCTGATGGCTGCATCTATGGGATCCCAAAGGGGTGGATTGTTGGGAAAATAGAATAATTTAATCAGGCTCCCCTCACCTCAGGGCCCGTTGGGGGTGGTTTGGTAAACAAGTTTTGTGTGTGGGTGGAGTTAGTGTGCATGCATGGCACAGCCAACTTAGCTGGCGTTTAATGCCTCGGGCGTCTTCTCCGCATAGCCATGCCTTTCCAACTTGCCGCTTCCAAGGACCTGTTTGCCGGTTACCTAGCTCATAGCCTGGCATGTGAGGGGTCTGGTGACCCAGCCTGGCATGTGAAGGGTTTGTGACCCAATCTGTGAACGGGCTTGCAGGGTCTGTGAGCTCCAGACCCAACCCTGGCCCAACAATTGGCCCAGTTGGTGCAGGATTAACAGCAGGTAAAACGAGCATAGTCATGTAGCTTTACAGAAGAGAAGAGGTGGGAGAGGGAGAGGTTGGTTAATGGACACAGCTAGGCAGGAAAAATAAGTTCTAGCTGTGGACAGTAGTGCTAGGCATCTATATTTAACAATAATTTGTCATATGTTCTCAAGTGGCTAAAAGAGAGGAGAGCAAATGTTCTCAATCTCTAAGAAATGATAAAGTTTTGTGATGATAAATATGCTAATTATCCTGATTTGATCATCACATATTGTATGTATGCATGGGAAAATAATTCTATACCATAAATATATATAATCAATGTGTTTTAATTAAAAAATAAATTCCTTTAAAAACACACAAAGACATACTATGAATGTTATTATTGGTTTTCATTATTTGAAAAAAATGTATAGTCAACATTTGAATCATATAATATGTTTTAAGAGCAAATCATAAATATTAAAACACTGACAATATAAGGTAATGGTGTTGCTATCAAAAACTGGAAGGTGGAAGGGGAAAAGAAGTAGAGGCCAATGCTAATTTCTTCATCATATCAAAAGACACTATCCAAAGTTGAGAAATTAAGAAATAGAAACTAATAATATTATTTAAAATGATAAAGTCATCATTAGCAAAAATAAAAATAATTTTTAAAAAGTAGGAGAGGAGAGAATGTGGGTTAGGCATATGTGTGAAAAATTTCTCACTTTAACAAGGTGAGTCAACTGCCAGGAATACTAAAACCAGAAAGAGTTTAAAATGGCTAATTCTGGGGAATGTAATCAGGTTTAGGTACTGGGAGAAATACACAGAGGTCT